TCTCTCACACACACACTCACTCTCACTCTCTCACTCTCTCTTTCACACACACTCTCTCTCACTCTCTCACTCTCTCTCTCTCTCACTCCGCGCCCGCCTGCCAAAAGCTGGCCCGGCCACCCTCGCGGGGCCACGACTCTCCAACCCGGGAGGGGGGAGTCCCATGGAGCGGGATGGAGGGCAGGATGGAGACGCTCCCGTCAGCCTTCCCTCTGGCCAAGGGAAGGAGAGCCCCGGGCTGCTTGCGGGAACGGCTGCTTTCTTCCTTCTTGAGCCGTTCCGGGAACTTTGGGCCTTTTCTTTTCTTTCTCTGGCTTCTCCGTTCACTTCTTTTCTTCTCCTCCACCCCACCCCCCCGCCCCAAGTTGCCTCACCTCAACCGGCTCGCTCTCTTCCTCGCGCTCTCCCGCTCCCTCTTTCTCCGCGCGCGAGGTAAACGGGCTGGACTTGCAAAAAGCGCATCGTCCTAAGGCTGCTTTTCTCTGAACGCCGCCCTGGATCTGCAGGAAGATTTGCTGAGCGGGGTTGGGGAGGGGGGGGGAAAGACCGGCTGTCCCGGGGAGATCGAACCTGCCCCCCTTTTGCGGCCGCAACGTCTCTTCTTCGCTCTACCGACTTCGACGGAGCTTTCTTTCCGGCTAACCCGATCTGGACTGGCCTTATTTTAGCCTCGCCTGTTGCGCAAAAAGGCGGCCGTGGGGGTCGGTCTGAAGCTGGGAGCGTCGCGCCAGCGCCAGAAATTGATTCGTCCCCAACCCCTGTAGATGAAGCCTAACGAGGAACCGCCTATAATCCGACGCAGGTTTACCTGTAAGGAAGCTTCTCTGAATCCATTGCGGCATGCATCTGAACAGAAATGCGTAAAATTGCACCCCGAGTTAAAAACCCAAGTGCCAAAACAATTTCAGGACTTACCAGGACTGCAGTGCCTCTGGTACCCGGGAACCAGAGAGTTTAGGTTGCTCCTTAGCCAAATCTTTCTCTCTGTACACAGCTGGAATAACTAATTGCCGACTCTCAGCATGTCTAGCAGGTCACCCCCTCAGCAGAGCCACAAGGACCAGTGTGTTTTTGTTGTGGCATGGCTGGCTTTAGGCAAAAGCCAACTTTGTGCCACAAGTGAGAAGCATGCAGCTCTTTGGAAATCAGATAGATAGATAGATAGATAGATAGATAGATAGATAGATAGATAGATAGATAGATAGATAGATAGATAGATAGATAGATAGATAGATAGATAGATAGATAGATAGATAGATAGATAGATAGATAGATAGATAGATAGATAGATAGATAGATAGATAGATAGATAGATAGATAGATAGATAGATGGAGGATGGATGGATGGATGGATGAACAATACTAGAAGGAAATAATAAGGCTCATTTGATGATGGAGAAGCTTAATGCTGAAGGAACACGAGTATGTCCCTGTTCATTCCTCTACCCCTGTTGCTTTGGGGAATTAAATTTATTTGCTCTCTGTATCATTGCCTCCCTCCTCCCATATGTGATTAATCAGCAGCAGGCAGCTTCGTTTTGCAGCATATTTTTACAGCTGCTGCAGCAGTTCAATTTAAAATGCAATGCAATGACAGAAATTGCTGCCAAGGATCCTCTTGGCCATTGGTACCCTAGAAGTCTGGTTACAATTGCTTGACTTCTCTACGTGGGTGAAACAGCTTAGATCCGAGGAGTGTAACTTCACAGGCGCAAACAGCCTCTTGCTGCTGTGCTGAAATTATCATGTGAAGAAGAAATGGTCCCCATAGCATATTTCTCCATATAGCTGCACACATCCATTGAGACAATCTTGTTCCAGTGCAAATAAATTGTATAGAAAAATTTCATGTCTCCTCCAGCTTTTTCTTCTACCTTTATTTATGATTTATCCCTTTGTTGCTTGTATCTACACTGAGAGCTTATGCACCTTTTGTGTCCAATCACACTTGGCCAATAAAGCTATTCTATTCTATTCTATTCTATTCTACTCTACTCTACTCTACTCTACTCTACTCTACTCTACTCTACTCTACTCTACTCTACTCTACTCTACCCTGTTCTGTTCTGTTCTAGACCCTATGGACCTACCTCTTCCTTATTATCAACATTAATAACCTAGGATGTAGCATAATGTATACATTACTTTTAATTATTTTAATTTAAAAAGTTGTTGTGGGGAAAATAAACAGAGGTGTGTTGGGTATGTTTGTTGTCTTGAGTTACTGGTAAAAATAATACAGGTGGAATACAAACAAGCAAACAAAATTACATGCAAAGTATAACATAAGAACCCATGACATGTTCCCTTCTCTTGAAGAAAGCTGTTTTACATCTGATGCTCAGGAATTTAGGAGTCTTCCAACAGGAAGAGGAACCACATTGGCACAGGATGTCCTGTCGCTTGGAAATATAAGAACTTAATGATTTAGTGGTTAAATTATTCAAGTTCTTCATTTTATTTTAGATATTTATCTGAGAAAAGTGTCTAGATTAAGTTGTAAAACCATAAAGTCCCTGCTCTTAGGCTTACCATCTAAGAAGAACATTATTCAAAAGGGGGGAAAAGATGAGTGGGGAAAAGAAAATAAGAAAACCAGTAATTAATTTTATGTAGGAATTATGAAATATTTGTACTATTATGTGAGCCTGAGGGTACCTTTCTAATGACAAACAATCAGCCCTTTTATCACAATAGCTGGAATGGATACAAATCCAGGGGAGACAACCTACAGCAGCCAAGATTGGCCAAGATTAGCCAAGATTAGCCAAGATTAGCCAAGATTAGCCAAGATTGGCCCTGCTGGGATTCCAAGAACTGACAAGCTTGGACCTTGAAAATGTCAAAGTGTGTCAAATGTCCAGTTGTGACTGATGTTAGAAGGTGCTGAGCCTAAATTTGGAAAATGCCAGCTTGTTACTTTCACCTGAAAGGTTTGTTAACATTTCATCTCTGTTATTAAACCTCTCCCTTTTTTTATTGTCAATAGCTTATCCTGTTTCACTGTGTTGCTCATTGTATGTGCTGTTTTGGGCTTTGCCACCAAATATAACATATTTAATATTCAGAGAGCAGAGGCATCGAAACCTATTGAGTGAAGTGACCCTGATTCACAGAAACTGAGTAGGCATGACAAGGCACAGCCAGGCAGCAATGACTAACACTAGCATTTTTTCCCCCAACGTTGGTCCTTTATATATTCAGTCGTAGCCAGTGCCTTGCAAAACAATTCTCCTGGGTATTTTTTCCTACAGCATCAAGGAGTGAATGCAAATGTCTCATCTGTCATTGCACGTGCCTCTCTCCAGGACTGTAGTCTCCCTGGCTTTCCATGAGGAAGGAACTTTTGGCTGTAGCATTTGCCAGTTGGAAAAAAAATGTGGGCAGGAAATTCAAAGAGACTTCAAGGAGATCCCAGCAGTAGCCTTCTTAGTGACCTCCCACTATTCTTTGCAGGGAAAAGCAAGTGAAATTTTCAAGCACCTGGAGAAGAAAATAGCCACAGAAGCCTCTTTCTCAAGGGAGGAAACATCTGAGAAATGATGATTTCCACAGTATCAAACAGCCGTGAGTTGAAGATGTAACTTACCTGAATATGGTAGAATATAGTTTACTTTCCTAATCAACCAGCAGCAAGAGAGAGGGGCCCTCCGAAAGGCCTC